AAAAACAAAACAAATCAAAGTATATCATGTACGGGTATATATTCCCTATGATGAATGCGAGCATCATATATATCTAAAATGTACCAGTAAATTTTAAAAAAACAGAACAAAACACAACAACAACAACAAAAAGAAAGCAAAATACTATTCTGCCTGTTGTGTGAGGAGCAGATTAGAGTGAAGCAAGAAGGAAGGCAGGTTGGCTGCAAAGGACGGGGGGGATGGGCCACAAATGGCGGCCATGGAGGGGAGAGAAACTTTTGGTTACATTTTGGTGGTGATTTGGAAGCTGGCAATGAGCTAAAGGGAAAAATTGGGTGACTCCTAGATTTGGGGCTTCAGTGACTGCATGGATGGTGATTTCATGACCTGGGATATTAAAGATTTGAGAAACAACCTGTTTGAAAAAGACAAAGAAATATGAACACTTATGCTTCATGTAGATGAAATCTGAGTGGCCTGCTAGACATTCAAACATTGATACCGAGTGGGCCACTGGATACATGGATTGGCAGTTAAGGGCAGTGGGCAGGGCTGGAAAGAGATATAGGAGTTGCTTCTAGATTGTCACATAGCCTTTTCTTTCCTCTGCATTATTTTCCTAGAATAGATTTCCAGAAGTAGGATTACTGAGTGAAATGGTTTGAGTACTTAAAATTTCCTGGTGCATTTTGCCAGGTTTTATTTCCAAGGGGTGGTATTTATTCACTGTGTTAGCAGCTAGTAATCGTGCATCAATTTGGTACTCTTTCCAGCCTTACATATTATAATTTCTTCCACCTCCCCTTATTTTTTGCTACTATAATTGGCAAAAAACCGGCCATTCAGTTTTTTAAATGGAGTATGTCTTTGCTCATTAGGGAGAGTAGACATTTTCCCATATGTTTCCCTCTTTATAGTATTTATTCTTGTCTGCTTATGTTTTTGCTCATTTTTTCATTGTGCAAAAGTATTATTGTCATGCAAGGACACAGCCCAGTGACTCTCAGCCCTGCTCTGATGTGTGCTACAGAGCAGGGGTGAATAGTGGATGATGACATTTTTCACTCTTCTCAGAAATTCTTCCCTCAGATTCCGTAAGGTCCTGCTCTCTTGGTTTGCTGCCTGCCTCTGGCTGCCCCTTCCCTGTCTCTTTCCTAAGGAATTTTTTCCCTTTTTGCTGTATGTACTCTCCTCTGAAATTGGCTGCAATCCAGTCTGTTTTGGGGGCATTAGAGATGGAACCCAGGGTCTAGTGTATGCTAGGCAAGTGCTTCAACACTGAGCATATACCCTGAGTTTTAAAAAAGTGTCTAAATGTGGGCTGGGGATTGGACTCAGTGGTAGAATTCTTGCTTAGCAGGTTCAACACCCTGGGTTCAGTGTCAAGCACTGAAAAAAATCCTAAATGTAAAATACAACACAAAGAAAAGTGCTTGACACCAATATCCAGTTTGTTTGCACACCCGTAAAACTTGTTACAAGTGAGCAACAGGGTGTCCACCATGCAGGCCTTAAAACAGAGCTCTGCCAGGATCTTGGATATCTCCCACTCTGTTTCTGTGTCTCCTTCTCTCTTTGTCTTCCGTCTCTCCCTCTCTCCACCCTTTCCTCCATCCCTCCTTTCTTTTATATGGTACTGGACCCAGGGCCTCTTGCATGTTAAGAAAGCTACACCCCCAAGGCCTTAACATTTATTTATCTTTGTAATTTAATTTTGAGTTTTCAAAATTTTGTTTTGCATCTATACTTTGTAATCCTTTGACAGTCACTAAACATGTGCAAGGCTACTTATTTGCATTTATATATGCAAAGAGAAGTCAGGCTTGGTGGCGCAGGCCTATAATCCCAGCACTCAGGAGGCTGAAGCAGGAGGATCCTTGCAAATTTGATACCAGCCTGGGCTACCCAGTGAACTCAAGGCCAGCCTGAACTGTATAGCCATACCCTGTCTCAAAAAAAAAAAAAAAAAAAAAAAAAGCAAGGAGAAAAGGCCATGATTATCTAGTAGGGAACATAAATCCCCCCAAAAATTATCTTACAAAACTATCAGACTTACTTTCCCACTTTTCTACTACTAGAAAAAATGAAAAAAAAAAACTACATTAAAAAATCTGTAGGTACAGCACCTGTCTGGCAAGTGCAAGATCCTGAGTTCCGTTCCTAGTAACAGACAAACAAAAACAAGCAAACAAATAAAACAACAAAACAAAAAAAAAGAAAAAAATATAAAAAGATCTGTAGGCTGAGCCTAGTTGGTTACACATGCCTGTAATTCCAGAACTCAGGAGGCTGAGGCAGGAAAATTGTCATGAGTTCAAGACCATAGTGAGTTTAAGGTTAGCTTGGAATACACAGCTAGACCCTGTGTAAAAAAACACACACATACACAAAAACAACAACAACAACAACAACAACAAAAGAAAAACAAGAGAGAGAAAAGAAAAAACTGTAGGCACCATAATATAGAAAGTTAGGACCATTAGTTTTACATATTAAGTATGTCCCTCAAATGAATACACAAATTTAAGTTTAAAAAATAGGTCAAATTTTACCATATTATTTCCCTGGTCCCTAAAAAAACCATTTATCAAACTGACATTAAAGGGGATGGGGATTTAGCTCAGTAGCTTAAGCGCCTGCCTGGCAAGTACAAGGTTGTGAGTTAAATCCCCGGTAAAAAAAATAAATAAATAAAAATAAAAACCCTGACATTAAAGACATTAAATAGGACTATAGGTCATACTTACAAGTAGTAACACACACCACTGAGACCACACATGACATGTGCATATCCCACACACATGTGAAATGACTAACACTGCTTGTGGCCTATGAGTTTGCTGCACCGGCTCTGTCTCTTTCTCCTCAGGCCTATTTTTCTCCTCTTGAACAAATGCAGATCCTGAGGCATTCCCTGGGAAATATCACGCACAATGAACTCCATCTTGGAGCCTGCTTCTTGGGGTGTCCAACTTGTGACAACACCGTAATGTGAGGGGCACTCACTGTATGAAGTATTTGGGTTTGATGCGTCAGGGTATGGTAAGGTAAGTTGGAGAGATCCTGCCCCATCTACTTTTTATGTACGTATGTATTTTTTTAAAGGCAGGTAGTCCACGCTGGCCTCGAACTCTCAGTCCTCCTGCTTCAACCTCTTAGATCTCTGAGGTAACAGGTGGGTGCCACCCTACCTGTCTTGCCTCACCCTATGTAAGTTTTTGAAAGGGACCAACATTGAAATATAAGACAATGCAGTTCAGTTCAGCATGCAGACCTCCATTTACAGCCTTTGCTTGAAAGGTGTTTATCTCTTTGTTAATTACTAAAGCATGACCTACCTTTTTCAAATATTTGGTAAGTTTGGTTAGTGCAAGACAATTCCTAAAAACATCATAAACTTATGGTATAGTGGCCAAAGAAGGTACCAAGCTTTCCAGGGTGAACCCCAGATCCTGAACTGCAAAGTCTCACTGCTACAATGCCTGCCCAGAGGCACCCTACCGCCAGCTTCCTTGTCTGACCTTTATCTTCATTTTGAACACTTGATATTTTCCGTGCAGCCCTCTCCCTTCATGTGTTTGCTTTGTAGGCTGTTTCCATTTCTGTTCCATCTCTTTGGAAAAAGAGCTTGATGCCATCAGGGGACACAAGGTAATGCTGAGGCTTGGGGAGAAAGGAATGTGGACTGCAAGGTGCTCGACCATTTAGAAATAGGACAAAACTCCTTTTAAAAGTAAGCTGACCCTTACATATAGCTGTCACCATGTACAAGGTGGGACCATATCTTTTTTGATGACTGGAAGGGACCTGAGCCACATCTGGTCCGTGTGTTTTGCATCTGGCCAGACTCAGTCTGTTCTGCTTTTTTGGGTGGTTTTATTGAGCCAGAGACAAAAGAAGGAAGACATTTGGGAAGCCACTTCCTCCCCTGCAGGAGTGTGATGATGGCTGCCCACTTCCCCAGAGCTTACTACCTTGTCCACTCCATGAGAAGCTGAACTTGAATACTAGAAACAAAGTCCCTGAAAATGAATTATCTGCCCAGATCTCATGGCCATGGTTTCTGAGAGATACTGTGTGTCTCATGTTTGTTTGGGGCTCTCAGGAGTTTGTGAACTTTGAATCCAATGTGTATAGGCCTCACATGAAACTAAGGGAAGACCCAAATAAACTCTCTAGCTTCATTTGCTTTTATTGTTATTTATTTTCAGTACTGGGGACTGAACCCAAGATCTTCACATTGAGCTATACCCCTTGCCCTTTTTCATTTTTTAGAGACAGGATCTCACTAAATTTTATAGGCTGGGCTTGAACTTGCGCTCCTACTACTTTAGACTCCCAGAGTTCTGGGTTTGCAGGGGTGCATCACCACACCTGTTCACTTACTTTTAGCTGACTGTAAAAATCAGTAATTTTGGAGGCCACATAACTGAGTAAATATATTATTAGTCTCTCCACCATCTTTTTTTTTTCTTCTTGTACTCCTGAGGATTGAATCCAGAGCTTTGTTCTGAGCTGAATCCCTGGCCTTTTTAAAAAAATTTTGAGACAGGATATTAAGCTGATAAATTTCCCTGGATGGGCTTGAATTTGTGACCCTCCAGCCCCAGTCTTCCAGAGTGCTGGAATTATAGGCATGCACCACCAGGCCCAGTTTTCTCCCACCACTTTGCTGTAGCTAACACCTCCAACCCGAGGGGCATGATGATGATAATAATTGCCTGATTTACTGTTCAGGGACTTGAAGGCTGTTTTTTTGAAACTAGTAACTCTTCCTTTGTACATAGGTGTCCAGTGGGTGACCCTTTGACATCAGAGGGTGTCTTGTCTCCTCATGCTTCATGAATAAACTCTATTTTGCAAAGCTTGACATTTCAGTGAATGGCATACTGGATGATGGGAAAATAGGCTTGGTTTGGTAACACACATGTTGTTGTTACAACATGCCATGATCTGGGGTTTAGTGTCTGAATAAAGGCATCATTGTTACAATGAAAACCAGAGTGTGAAACATGAAATGGTTTTAACAGAAAAAGGTTTATTTTAAGGAGACACAATCATCTCTAGCTATATAAAGAGTATAGTTCAATTGCTGGTAGCAAGCCAGTAAGAAATGCTTTAAAAAAGAAAAGAGACAAGAAGACCCTTTGTAATAATACCCCACAGAGGGCTCTCTTCCATTTTGTGTCAGACTCCTACTTAGATTAGGATTGTGATCTCGCCTTGTTTCTGCTTTTTCCTGAGTTTTAATCCAGGGACACAATCTCATCACAGGGCAGGGAGCGGGGGAGTGTATTTTATTTCTGCCTTCCAGTTTAGGACATTTGTTTAAATTCCTGTCTCCCCTGTGTGTTGTAAGTGCATTGTTGGTACTCAGTAAGCACTGAAGGGTAAGTGTAACCTATCCGAAGTCCAGCTCCCATCCTCACAGTACTGGCTAGTGCTCAGTACTCATTTTGCTTTTGACACGGGAGTACTTTCACTGCTTTAGGATCCAAGGCACAACCTGGTTTCCTTTCTCACTTCTAGAAATCCTAAACAGAAGACAGAAAGAAACTGCTTTGTGGGCACTTTGAACTAGGGAAATCCTGGACATTACTCCTATATCTGATTTTTAAATTCTGATTTCAGTAAATGGGTAGATTCCCTGGGCTCAAATGATAGGAATGGAACAAAAGGTCCTAAGAAGCAAACGTGCTGAGCTAGAAAAGGCTGTAGCCTGAGAGCTATGCCTGAGAAGCTCAGTGTACATGGAGTTGAAGTCTCAGCTCGCTGTATGCAGCCCTGTCCAGAAGTGCCAATGAGTAGGGTCTTCCATTGTCTCCCCAGGAAAGAGTCAGTGCAAGCCAATTTCAAAAAGACTTCTACAGACAAGAAGAGGGACATGCCACGGGAGCCCCACCATTCCCTTTTCCTTGACCAGACCTGGCCCTGGACCGGAGGCCAATGAGACTTCTGGATGGTGTGTGTGTGCACCTTGAATGTGATATGTTAGCAAATGTGGTCTTCACATTCCAGGTAGAAAAACTGCACTCATACACATAGGCTCACGCCTCCTCATCCACTCATATCCCTCACTGTTTACATAAGAGAATGTGAAAATGTACATCTGAGCTTCAGCCCTTAAGGAACATGAGGAGTCTAGATGGGAGCACAATGGAGAGAGATGTGAAAAAGCTTTGGCTCAGAAAACAGAAGGCAGTGGTGTGCTGAGTACCTACTGGTTGTATTTTTCCAACCTTTGGATGTGGGGCATCCAAAGGAGCCTACCCCAGGGGGCTGGGATTCAGGAGGCAGGGAGAGACTGTAGGTAAAAGATTACATCTCATTGATTTTCTTTCTTTTTTGTACCAGGAATTGAACTCAGGACCTTGCACTTGCCAGGCAGGAGCTTATGCCACTGAGCTATATCCCTGGCCGCTCATTCATTTTCTTGCTGGTGTTGAGTGCTCTGTCTTGTGCTAGGTCTAACCACATTAGAAAGTAGACAGATAGACAAGAGTTTTAAAGCCAGTTTTGGTGGCTAGGAAAGCTGATGATCTCTCTAGGAAATCACAGACTGGAATCCTTATGGCCCATGCTACCTGACTTTCCAATGGCAGACTTAAACTTGTAATGGCACTATAGGGCAGGACAGGGTGGGGGGAGCAATGATCAGACAAAGAAATAATAAAACTCAGAAATCCTCAGAAAATTCTTTTCTACCAGCTTACTCTACATGTGGGAAGCAGAGGTACATTGAATAATGAGGACAGGTCCCAAGAAAAGAATGAGGGTTTCTACACTAAGGTAGTCAGTGATATGAGGGAGAGGAGGCCCAGAGGGACACCTCATGGCATCTTCCACCTGGCCCTGTATGTTCAGACTCCAGTGACAGTGCTGTACACATTGAGGTTAATGAGCCACATCATCTGGTACACAACCAACTCATCACATGGGGCAGGTCATAGAAATGCCTGTCACAGAAGATAGTCTGGATCATGGGTCAGCAAACAATAACAACTGGGCCACATTAGTGACAGCCATGAGCTGACAATGGTTTTTACATTTTCCAAGGGTCATAAAACAAACCAATGAACAAACAAATGATAACAGCCAAGAAGAAGAATGTGTTATGGAGATCTTATGTGACCCACAAAGCCTAAAACAGTTACTGTCTGGCCTTTGCATGAAAAATTTGTCAATCCCTGGTCTAGATGATGGAGGAAAGTCCCTCGATCTCTGGTGAGAAGCCTCTGAGTATACCTAAAAAAGAAAACCAGAAGTCTGGGAAAAGAAAGGCCACAGAGAAAATAAAGGGAAAAGCCACTCAATATGACCAGCACCATCTTCAATGTGTCCAACCTGCAAGCCCACAAAATAGTGAGGTATGCATAAACTATGAAAAGAGGCCCAAGAATAGCAAGAGAGAGCCATACTAAGGAACGTTAGGCAAAGAATGTTCTGGAAAAGAGACTGCATACAGAACTTGGTACTTATTAAGGAACTAACTCTATTATTGTTTGATAAAATAGAGTTTAAGCCCAGGAATTGACAAAATATTAAGCTAGGAGAAGTTTCTAGAACACAAATGAGTATCTCATGAACATCTAACAGTCTGAAAATTCCCAAAAAGATTAAGAAAGCAAGATTAAAGTAGATTCTAGAAATCTAATATTGGTTGCCCTACTTTAAATAAACATTGAATACAAGATATACCACTAAAGTTTAAGTAGAGACATTAAGGAACAATGACAAGTATTAGTTTTTCAAAAGAAGTCCTTAGAAGATTCTCTTATATAGGGAACTTCTACTAAAAAAATGAATTTTATTTTTTGAAACAGGGTCTTACTTGCAGGTCAGGCTGGTCCTGAATTCATTATGTAGCCCAGGCTGGCCGCCAACTCACAGCAATCTTCCTGTCTCAGCCACCTGAGTGCTGGGATTACAGGTGTGTGCTACCACACCCAGCTAAAATATGAAAGCTGATCTATAAAAATTCATTTATTCACTCAACTTTTAGGGAAACATTGTACAAAGTAGGGCACAGATACTAAATGAAGAGGGAAACTTAAATTTCTAAAACTGAAAATCAGATTTATCTTTGGATTCAGGAACTAAAGAACTCTTTTTTATAACCTGGGAAATTCATGAGTCATAAAAGTAGAAGCCAGCTGTGAATCTTCTACAAATGTAGTGCTTTAAATGGCAAAGCACTCAGTCCAGAAGTAGGAGACCTCCAGCTACAGCTGGGTTCTGCCTCAGCCTCACTGCAGGACTCTAGGTAAGCTATGTGATCTTTCCTGGCTTTAGTTTGCTCATCTGCAAAATGAGGGTGGTTCCTTTCAGCTCTAATATTCAGTGACTATAGATAAATATAGAAATAAGATAAATACAGCAATCCAGAAATAAGAAATATTTCCCAAAGTAAGCTTTGGAGTCAGTAGAAAAAAGTAGCAATGAAATATGTTAAAAATAATAAAATTGTAACTGCTAGCCAGATTAATTATAGCTCATTTAAAAATTAATGAAAAAGTTTGTAATTTACAATAGATCAGAATGCATTAGAACATACATACTGGTATTTTACCATCATACACACGAAGGAAGGAATGAGTTTAAAGTGACTGGTACAATGAGCACAATGCTGCATTTGCATGCCTAACATTTTATGAAATTGGACATTAAGCTCAAGACCACATACAGAATAAAATCTCTATAAAGTTTGGCATTTCAAAGAAGCTGAGAGGGGTTAACTGATTGATCTGGTTCAGATTTTGTTGCTATCAAATTACCCTCTTTAGGCAAAAACTTAAAATCAATTATATTTCTGCCAGAGCCCTCCTGGAGAACAGTCACTCTGATGAGGATGAATATTTAAGGGTTGGTAATACCAAACCAACCTAACATCTTTCCCCTTTTTCTACTTGTGAGTCAAAAACATTTTTTAAGCTCAAACCAGGCCAAACAGCTAGTTTAATCAAACCAAAGCTTTTCAGATTGAATTCATTGCGGAGTTGATTCAATCTAATAATTTCTTAACGCCAAACGTATGCCTACCAGCATGATGATTATACTTTACATCTCTTGGCCAGAAATTGACCACTGTAATGACAGCCAGAAAAACAGGAAAGGTTGGGATCAGATGGAGGCTGGCTATAGTGCTTAAGGGGCTTGAAGGAGGAGTATCACTGGAAAACACACACAAACACACACACACACACATATGCATGCACACACATACAGACACATACCAGGATTGCTGCTGCCACTGGTCCTGGAACCACACTTTGAGAACCACTGGCCTAGACTTTTGCACTTTACTGAACAAAAGTATTACCTATTTCATATAACTCATTACTTGTGCAAATTTCTTTTTGCTAAACTTATAAAAAATGCCGTAAAGATATGTCCATAACCATTTTATACTGTAGTCTTCTATAAATCTATTTCCAAGTGTCCTAAAACATCGCTTTTTTCATATAATTCTTTAAATCATTATAGTGTTTTCTGCCCTTTGACAAAGGCACATTTTGGTACCTGCTTCTCACTCATCCTTAAAAGTCCCTAATATCTTTGTCACTTATAGTTGAAATATATGCAAAGGCTTTGAAGGAAATGGGTTTTTTAGTATAGGTCTTATTCTCACACCAAGCTGAAGAGATTGCACATAACAAAGGTATGATGAGGCAGGAGAGCAGAGGCCTGGGCTTGGTGAGGTTGAACCTTCAATAAGTTAAATAATCACCACCAATACTAGATAACTGATGTTGATGTGACATGGATCGGATATTTCACCTTTTCACAGACAGGACATATTTTCATAAACTCCTGAAATCTTTGTGTTCTTTTACTCAAAGGATAAGTAGTATTAATTCTATTTATGTAAACATGTTAATGTACAATATGAATGACCTAAGTCTTCCCAGTGGCTTTTAGTAGCCATTCCTGAGAGTCCCTTATTAGTAACCACACTGAAAAACTGGGTATTTGGACAATTTAAATGACCATCAACTATTAACTATATTGATAAAGGTCTTTTATATGCTCTGGAGTTAGCTGCCAGGGAATCTGGCCTGTCCTTGGTGAAAAATACATTACTACAACTAGTTGATGTCTAATGTTCTGCAAGTATAATGTCATTCCTTTGGTATACGGCTTTTGCCCTGTTAAAATGCAAGTGATCCTCAAAGGAGATAGCATTAAGCCTTATAATCTCAAAGTAAGTGAATGTATCCCTTTCCTGAGAGCATGTTTTCTTAGAGAGGAGGAGAACAATTAGGAGGCATGAGCAGTTCTAGGATGCTCACTTTCTCCCCAGTCTTTGCATCCTAGCAAAGACCTCTAGCTATGAATGGAAAACAGATAGCAATTAAATATTTGGCTTGAAAACAGTTGGTTACTCCCCTCTCCAGTAAGAAGAATGATACTTGGAAGCAGGAAAACTGATGTTACTTACTGAGAACAAGTCACAGGGCTGGGACAAGGGTGAGACACTTGTACAGCCTAAGAGAAACTGCCTTCTTACATTTTGCACCCACAGTGCCTTGTTCACCTCACCCTAGTCCTGGCCCTGGCAACTCGGAGTAGAGTGAAAGCTCACCATTGTGTCACAGACTTGGTAAACATGGAAGGCTGAACTAGTGAAGAATAGAGTGCAGAGCATGAATGTGCCTTTTTCCTGATTAGTTCAGCAATGAGGAAGGGGGCAGGTACACGAGCTGATCTGTGCAGTGACAGGCACAGATAAATGGCAAATAGAATCTGAGTGGTCGATCTAGTTAAAGTGGATCTCTGACAAAATGCTTATTAGGAAAGGCTTGAAACTCTCCCATCTTTGAACATCCCAGGTAATTTTTCCAGATTAGCTGGTCAACTTGAGGTCTTTAAGCTAATGTAGACTAGTTGGCTGCTTATGGCCTTGTCTCCTTCAGGACTGAGCTGTTGGCTAAGGATGAAATTCATTGGTATTAGTGCTGAGAGGCCAGGTGGGAAGCCTAAGCGGGAGGCCCAGGCTGGCGAGCAGAGAAGCCATCAAAGCTTGCTGTTGCACCAAGAACTTCCTCTCTACCACTCACATCTGAACCACAAATATGTAATGGATACCCACCAAGTTCAAAGCTCTGTTGGCTATCAATTCACTGCCTCTTTTAGGGATAGCTTTCTCTACTCCTGACTCCAATGAAGACAGTCTAGCATAGCCACCTGCTCTATTGGTTGGAAGTAGAGAGAAACAAAAGGGCATAGTAATGATCTGAAGTGGAAGTTGACTTCTGGGGGCCAACTTTGCTTTCCTCTAACTTCTTGTATACTTTATCTTGAAATATTATTTTCATCATTATTTGTTACCAGTAGTGGTAGTAGTAGTAGTAGTAGTAGAAGTAGCAGTAGTAGTAGTAGTAGTAGTAATAGCTTCTCTAAAAATCTTCCTAAGAGAGGTTTTTGGACTCTCTTCTTCAGCCTTGGCAGGCAGAGTGGGCCAAGAAGGTAGAAAACACTCTGGTAAGTGCCCTAGGTAGTAGAGAGAGTTGGTATTTTGATAACTGAGGGCAGAGAGAGTTTGACTGTTAGAAGTAGGAAAGATCCTCCGTGTTCTGTTAATCAGTGTTTGTTAGAAGTGTTACAGTTTGGTTGTTTGTTTGGAACAAGGTACACCAATGCAAGATATTAAATGAGTTATTTCTGACTGCACAATCTGTCTGAAAGCATTTCATACTAATGGGAACAACACTGGGCATGTGATAGCTATAGCAATGATGCAGAAAAAGTTCTAAAAATTCCAGACATACAGTTTCATAGAAGACAGCAAAAATCAAGGTAACTGAAAAACATCAAAGTGTCTGGGTATTCAGCTTTAGAATATTGGAGAAATCTCCAGAGGTAGCAATGTGAGGGGAGAAGGACCCACTAGAAGTAACAAATAAGGAGTTTCCAGAAAAACTGTGGAAGTAACAGAGGTCCTATACTATGTGAGTTCCAGACTCTTATACTTCAGAGTTCAGCTACAAGAAATTCATAATGGTTTTGAAGGATGAGGCCCTGGCAACCCCATGATTTTATTAGGGAAAAGTACAAATACTCCTTCATTTCCCTACAGAGAAAAGCAGTTCTGTCTTTCAGAATTCCATGTCTGTGCCAGGTAAGTGTGGCATTCACATATAAACCAAGGTTGGGATAAATCTGTTTATTTCAGGCAAAGCCTCTAAAACTTGGTTAAGATCTTCAAAAATAGTTCAAATACTTTCAAAAGCAACTGAACTTTCATTACTATTTGTCTATTACTTTTAAATGGTTTCTTTCTTAATCAGGGTAAGTACTGACTGCAAAGACAGCTGATGGGCCTGGCCTGTTCCCATGAATCTAGATTTTAGAACTGGACCAACGAAGGGCCTAGGCCTGGGGCTTCTATGCGAGCCCACATCTTCTCAGAACTCAGCATGGCTTTGCAGTTGTTTTGTCTCCCTGGAGTGTTGGTAGTTGAACTGAGCATTTTCTTTTCATTGGTGACAAAAATAACCTACCAATATTGAGATCTGCTTGTATCTGCAACCTGTATGCAAATGAATCTCTTGGTTTCAGTGGTGAAAGGGGAAGGGATGGGTGAAGACTTTGCAAAGCAAGTTACAATTTCATTTGACTTTTCTTTTTTGCCTCTTGGGATGAGTAGACAATCAACTTTCTATTATTGATCAGCAGGTTGTCTTTGTTTTGTTTTTTTTTTATCGGTACCGGGGGATCGAACTCACAAGCGCCTGCTTGCAAGGCAGGTGCTTATGCCGCTGAGCTAAATCCCCAGCCCCCAGCAGGTTGTGTTTATTAAATGCTTTGTTTGTCTGACCCCCAAGATCCCACAAATCAGGCATAGAGAAATCAAATGAGTCAATGCTCTTGCTGTCTTTAGAAAACTGAGCTGACAAGAATAGTTAGGTGCCTATTAGCTTTGACGGGGAAGGGGTCACAATGATTGTTCTGGAACTCCTTTAACATACCATATACCTGAGTTCTTACACTCTCTCCCAGCATGGTTAACTGAAAGTTGGTCAAACAGCAGAATGTAAATAGTAAAAAGTGGCTTTTTTGGCCTGTGGGTTATGGGCCACAGCAAATGGCAAAGCTGGCTTTTAGATTTTGGGTACTTTTAGTCTATAAATTCTTGGTTTTGGGAACAGTGTCAGACATCCTTTAATCAAAATCCAACCAATCACAAAATGTGATCTGAATTAAATAACATGGAGCAATATGAATTTACTTTCTAGCCTCCTTGAACCTTTGATGATGCTGATCTTTCAGCTAATTACTTCTTGTAATGAATGTTACATGCAAATGAAATGAGAGTTCTTAGAATGCAACATGAGCTAGGCACAGGTCCTGGTAGATACCTGAAGGACCTCAAGGCGTATGTGCAGGTTGCTTGGACAGAGTTGAGTGACCACATGGCTGGCTGCCTCATTTGTTCGCAGAACTTGTTCTTCTGAAGCCATGCAGCTCTGACTTTTTCTGATTAATGGGCAGTGGTGGCAGAGAGGTGGGGGTCAGTCTACAAATGCATTGAAACTCATCACCCTGATCTCCGTGTAGACAATCAAGCTGAAAAAGGAATGATGTTTCAGGACAGGGTCACATTCGTGGTTTGTACCACAAAGGTCATCTGATCAACCCCAACTGAAACCAGTACACACCTGTGAAACTCCCTGGAGGAGAGCCCCAGTGGTTCAGGAGCCTTGGTATATTTCTGTGTCTCTACATAAGGCCATCAAGTCCTCCCCAGGAGAGTGAAGAATCAGCAATGACACCCTCTGTCTGACCCCCAGGGGTCAACCCCCATCTGTTCTCCCACTGTGCCCAGTAACAGGAGATAGCCAGGACACAGATTGGAAAGGTGGCACATGAGCCCTTGCATATGAGAATTTCTTTTTTAGTGCACACCAGTGGAGGAAAAGGAAGAAACTTGGTCTTCAGTCATGGCAAGGGTGAAAGTATGGATATGCAAAACGTCCACAGATGGTTCAAGTGCCTGATAATCTCAGCACTAGTTGAAACGGCCTCTCTCCTGCCAACCAGAGTGTAAGCTAATGTCAAAAAAAGGACGTTGTTTTGTTATTCCCAAACCCTTTCTCTTACCCATCTCAAATTTAGTAAGTAAGCCCTGCTTGTCGAAGCCAGGGCTTAGGAACTGGGGTTATCGGTGGTTTCACAGTCATTTGAAAACTGTGCAATGATTCTCCGTGCCAGTGGGTTAGTGGTCTTCAGCAGTTCAGCTGCTGAGGGGCGGGACTTTGGAGTTGTCTTACTTCCCTTCTTCTGGAGCAAGGCCTTGAAATCATCGTTTCTGCCCATGTCTAGGCTGGCATTGCTGCCTGACCCCGAGGCGGTGGTGGAAGCAGCGGCGGCAGCAGTGGCGGCAGCAGTGGCAGACTCACTAATGGGAGAATCAGCTGTGCTCTTTCCTGGTGAGTGAGAGCTAGGTCGACCTCCTGCAAACCCCTCCCCAGCCTCCTTCCAGCCGAGCAGCTTCCTTTTGGATCTAAATAAGAGAAAGCTTGGTATGAGTGAATTCAGGTAGCAGATGTTTACTAATGTTTCACAGAACTTTCTGCTAAAGATGTGACTGAGAACATGCTTATGGCAGCCTTGAACACATCATGTGGACCAGCTTTCTTCCTTACCCCTCAGCCCCCAGGTCTTTAGTTGGGCCTCCTGTCGTCCACACTCCTTTTGCCTTTTCTTGGCTTTTTGGAGATGAGGTCTCCTTCACTATGTTGCTCAAGCTTTACTCAAACTTCTAGGCTCACGTGATCCTTCTGCTTCAGCCTTCTGAGTAGCCAGGACTATAGGTATGGGGACATGCCACCACACCAAGCTATACCTGCCTTTCAGTACTCATAGCTGGAGCCACTTGGCCTGTGCCTGCAGGCTCAGTCTTGCTGAGTTTCTAAGACTGAGAATAAGTTTAAGGAATCAAGGCTGGTGCTCCACAGCTGAATCAGGACAGCCTGGGGGCTGATATGATTCTGAACTGGTGCTTCACCTCCAATAATGGGGCTCTTTCCAGGTCCCTTGCCACCAAGCCCCTGCTCGTGCCCCTGTGTTCCATGTGCTCTCCATTTCCCTAAGGTGCTTTTTTGATATCCTCTCCCATGCCTCACATTACTTCTTGATGGGATTTTGTGGTACAAGAAATTCTGTGAAGGGTTAAATGTCTCTGACTGCAGGCAGCGCTGTGAGAGAGCAGATGGAGCCACAATAGGCCAAGCAGTTGCTAGGAGACGAGGGGCCTCTCTTTCAGCACCAGATCCTCCCATTCTCTTCCCTTCCCTCCTCCACTTTGCCCAAACATGTCAGTGAATTTGAGATTTGAGGCCCCACATTGCGCTCACATATTCGGGTATCTGAACATAGTCTCCAGTTGCAACTCTAATAGTTGCTCAGGGGTAGCAGTTTTTCTTTAAGTAGAAAAAGGGAAGGCAATTTCAATTCAAATGAAGGAAAATGGTTCAGACCTGTGTATCACAGTAAATAAATCTTCAGTTGTGCGTGAAGCCACAAAGACGTCATCATCCTCCTCTGCAATCCATTCGGCTGTTTTATCACTGATTAAACTTTTCTCTTCAGTGCTTGGTTCCACAGAGCTCCCTAGGCATACGAACCAGAAGGAATGATTGACCACAATAGGTTGGACAAAGTCCATTCATTATTATGTGTTATTTCACATAATGTTCAAAGCAACTCTAGAAGGGCAGCAGAACGGAGATTTTAATGTCTTTATCTTGTACAGGAAGAACATAGAGTTCAGAAGCTTAATGACTGACCAAGGTGGAGTGACTGGTGAAGACTGGCCTAGGTCCCTGCTCCCCCATGCCTTTTCAGTGCAGCAAGTGGTGGTGTTTTATTTTTGTTTGCTTATTTTTGCACTAATTGGGAATGGAATCTGAGGCCTCCTACATGCTAGACAAAATGATCTACTTCTGAATCTACCACTAGCCCCTCTTGTTTTGGATACATCGTTTTTTTTTTTTTTTAATGGAAGAGCTGAGAGCCATCTAAAGCAATGACTCTCTATCATTTCTTGGCCTTTTGGCTAAGATCAAATGCAGCAATGATTCTCACCCATCGTGGGAGAAGACGACCCCTCTGAATCTCAGAGGCTACCTTTGGAGTCTGAAGAAGCGTATTATAAAACAATCTATGGATATTTTGCTGTGGTGGTACTAGGGATTGAACCCAGGGCCTTTTCATTGAGCTACATCCTGAGCCCTTTTTTCATTTAAAAAAAATTTTCAGACAGGGTTGTGTTAGGTCACTAAGTTTCCCAGGCTGTGCTCTGAATTGTGATCCTCCTGCCTCATCTTCCCAGAGAGCTGGGGAAACAGGTACCACCATACCTAGCTTTGCTTATTTGTTAAGATTGTATTTATTTATTTATACTTGCAGTGCTGGGGATGGAACCCAGGGCCTTGCAATAGCTCTACTGCTAAGCCACACCTCCAGTGCTGTTTGTTTTTTTAGTCACAGTGATTACATTGAGAATCAAAATCAGCTTTAAAAAGGTCATGACCATGAAAAAAAATAAGGTCATGAGATTTTGATGTTAAGGGTTCAAAAAGAATGAGAAATCTGGGAGCCGAAATGAAACAAGCAAATCTAAAAAAAAGACAATATTGTTTGCTTTCACTTATAAGAAGTACTCAGAGAAGTCAAATTCATAAACTCAGAAAGCAGCATAGTGGTTGCCAGAGCCTGGGAAAGGGAGTTGTTTAATGAATATAAACTTTGATTTTTGCAAGATGGAAGAATTTCTAGAGGTTGATTTCATAACAGTGTGAATGTGCTTAACTGTACAATTACACATGGTAGATGCTGTGTTATGTGTTTTACAATTAAAACAGACACAAACAAATGAAAATGATCAGAATCATTAAGTAGCCTAGAGCTAACCTCAAACTGTCTGAGAAAGCAAGCTCCTTTTCCATTACAAGGCACCAAGAAAGGCCACAGGTGGCACTGTAGCCTATTGTTCCAAGCTACAGAAGTGCTGGGACTCAGTCTGAGAGGAGACCGAGTCCCATGCATGAAAGTAAACTCAGGGTGGCTGATGAAAAGTATGGCACAGCGTGGTGGAGCCATAAGGTAGGGGATGCACTCCTGGCTGGGTAGGTAGGGTCCTCAAGTCCTAGTGTACGAGAGTCCAGTTTGATTTTATCTCAGTATTTGAATCAAGGGTAGACTGGCTCAGACTATTTTGAATCAATCAAGTTCAGTGTCAAAAACTAATAATAATACAGTCTTAATAACACTATTTATACAGGCATAGGAGTCCCTGGCACACAGATGAACAACAAATGTTAATTTACAATAAGTCTATTCATGACCTCAGAAATATTTGAAATGTGTGAGAATGAATTAAATGTTGCCTTTCCATTTTTAAGCTTGCGTTTAAAAAATACAAATGCAGTTTAAACGTAAAAGTTTAAGCATAATAACACATAGTCTGAACCTGTGGGCATAGGTAGCTACACATAAAGCATCATTACCAAAAACACAAATGTAATTTAAACTGAAAAGTTTAAACAGATCAACACATGCACCCTTAGGCACAGGCAGCTCCCACAAAAGATCATCACTACCCATATAGCAGATCCTGAGTGATCCTGATTTGGCCTTGCAGATCTGCCCCTAGTCAGTCCTGACGCTGAGGATATCAAGGTTGACCTACAATTTCTACTAGAGTAACCCAAACCTTCGAGGGGTGCCCCCTACTGATTTGGTTATCCTAGGATAAGGATAATTATTCTGGGACATTTGCTTCTGTCCCTGACAGTCCTTCATCATCCACATGCCTCCTGGGATTGAAAGAGGCCAGCAGACAGTTTACTAACCTAGAGAGCTTGCCTCCTTTTCACTGGCAGCCTGTGGAGCTGAAGTCGTCCTCTTACCAGGTAACTGCAGGTCCCTGCCAGTGGCGGGACACCTGACATCTTCCTCCAGGGTGATGATGGGGCTGACAGGCAGCCTTGCTTCTGCCACGTGGGGCTCCATCTGAGCTCCAGGGGAGGTAAGAGGCAGGTAGAGCACGCTAGGCTTTTTTGGTACAGGAGGTGGAATCTTTCCTGTCTTTTTCTCAGCTTCTTCCTGGCTCTGGAGGCTAATTCTTTCAGGCAAGGCTCTCACCTTGGGGCCCTCATCCTCCATACTTCCCCGGGGAGGTTGCTGTGTTCCTGAGAAGAAAGCACCAGAGGAACTTGCAAAAGGTGTAAGGACAAGAGATGAAGGTGTTGTTGGCTCCCCTGGGCTTCTGCCATCGGGGAAGCTGAGGGGCTTTGGTTTTCGCACCACTGTGTGGCTTTCTTGGAGGAGTGGCTTCACATGGTGAATGGTGCTCTTGGGGGCCGTAGCAATGGTAGGCAAAGTTAGCAGGTATTTCTCCTGGACAGATGTTGGCTTGTGGACCAAGCTTGAAGGCCTTCGGGCCAGTGGAGGCTTCTCAGCTATGGGAGGTTTCACTTTTCTCTCTGGCAAAGCAAAGACTTCTGTTCCAGGTTCCTCAGTGTAGTCTGGGCTCTCAGTGTCATCTTCTGGCTCAGATTTGCTGACTGACCTTAGGCGAACAGAACGTAGGTCAGACTGAGTAACCATGGGCATAATTGGCTGATTGGGGCTAGTTTTCTGTGCCAGCTTGGCCCCAAAATTGGTATCTGAGTGATGGCGGCTCACCTTGGTCTTGCTGCAGATGGAGATACTCAGCCCAGACAAATCCAGAGTGGCTGAAGGGGTCAGTGGTAGGTCAAATGATAGCCGTGCCTTGGACATTTTCTCCATTGGTGATGTTTGGGCTAGAGAGGATTTCCTCTCAGGTACCACTGGACGTACCCTAACACTGCTACTTGGTGGGGGTAAGTGGCCCAGGGTCAAGGACATGGAGACGGTGGGTGTTGGAGTCTCAGACTGGCTGGAGTATCCACTGGAGGGTGACATCAGCCCAGGGGGCCTTCCTGGAGAGGAGGCCTCCCGTGCCTCTACTTCAATAGAGAGTTGGGAAGGTGTGGTAGCTCTGGAGGTGGAAGGGGAGGCTAGGGACTCTGAGCTGCCCTGAACTTGAGTGCACTCAATGACTGTGGTGCCAGTGGCAGTGCTAGAGCTGGACAAGGATTGGTATGTGTCACCAGACTTCCAGTCAGTTAGATACCAGTGCTGGGAGAACTGTGTACCTTCTGGATCTTTGAGGGTTGGTGCAGTTGGCTGACCCTGAGTGTCTGAGGGGGATGAGTGATGTCCTTGGTGTTCCAAGGAAAGGCAAAGGCTCTTGGGCCTCTGGTCTTTAGGCAGTACAGACCCACCTTCTGGAAAAAGGACTGGTTCATCTTTGACCAGTGAGACACTGCGGGTAGGTGGAGAAGGCTTCTTCTTGGCCTTCCGGAGTGAGATACTCTTGGACCTCTGCCTTCTATGCCGGGCCTCCTGCTCAGCACTGAGGGAGGTGATGTTGTCAGCACTGTTACTGCCCTCAGAGCTTGTAGTGGCATAAGGCAGGGCACAGGCCTCACCAGCCTTCTGCTCGTCATTGTACTCCTTATCTGTGGCACCTGAATCTGTGGGCACAGACAGAGACCGCTCTCGGAATCTGTTGGCCCCACTTGGGCTAGTCTCCAGCTTCAAGGTACCACCAGTCAGAAGGCCAATCTTGTGGGGTTTTTCCAGTGCATGCCTTCGTTGGGTGGGGTATTCAGGGCAGCTGGCTAAGCCACTACATCCTGCTGGGTTATCACGGGCAACAAAGAGGGGAGCTGCCTCCTTAGGAACTAGAAGTGGGAGTGTGTTCACAGAGATGCAAGAATTCCCCGAGGAAGGATTTTTTCCACTTTCATTAACTTGGTTGCTCTGGTTGACTGCACGTGGAGTCATGTAGGTGAAGGCATCTCCCTTCCAGGAAGTGGAGAACGTTGATTCTGTTGGCCCATTGCAAGAGCTGGGGACACTGTACACTGTTCCCACACTATCCATGCCAGGAACGTCTAGGCCACTGTGTGCCTGATGAGGGTCCTCAGGCTCACTGGAAAGATTTCTCAGTACTGGTGAGGTGAGATTTGAGAACCGAGCTTCCTGCCCAATGGCAACTCTTCCATGAATGCCTTGTGGAGTGGAGTGGCTGGGCCTGGCGTCTGAGGTGGTGGAGCAAGTCACACTGCTTGCTGGGCTGCTGCTATGACCTGCAGGGGGAAGCACAGAGGTTAGCAACACAGCCAGAGGTGCCCCATCGGCTCTTTCAAGACACATTTTTGCCAAGAAACATTTGCCAACAGATTGGTCAGAATTCATGTTTTTCCTTTTTACAGATGAGGACACTAGGCAAGTTGAGGTTTCGCCCATCACCACAAAGTGAGTCACATGGTTCCCTTGAATCATCCACATGCTGCCTAAGGCTTTCAAGCTTTGGGGCTTGGTTTCAGAGTGGAAGCATCAGGTGGAACTCCCTTGGGTTTTCCCTATGCTTCCTCCCCAAGGCCCTGAAACCATCCCAGACCTCAGCATTAGTCAATCCCTGGATAACAACAGATGCTTTGAAACTAACTGGGGACAGCATAGTGTGGCTTTTGGCTACAGCAGTGAATTGGGAGCATTGCAGAGCAGGAACACCAAGAACCTGGTTACATTTTTGGCATTTGTCACTTACTATCTTTGCAGCATAAAAGACTTAGGATAATCTATAGCTGTGAGGAAATCATTCAGATATTCCAAGTCTTCAGAGTTTCTCTCAGATATGCAATCATTGTTATATCAGCCTCATTATTACTAATAGCCACCATTTGTTGAATGCCAACTACACACCAGGCATGTGGTAGTCAATTACACCAAGGTCTACAATCTTCACAATGACTCTACTATGCTGATATCATTGTCTCCTATTTGCAGGTGGAAAAAGTTGAGACTCAGAGAAGTTCTATAATTTGGATAAGGCCTCAAGATTCATAAGCAGTGAGGCCATGATTCACAGCCAGATCTTTCCGGTCTGTGGTTTTGTTTTGTAGTGCTGGGATTGAACCCAGGGCCTCCTAGTGCATGCTAGGCAAGTGCTCTGCCACTGGGCTACACCTCCAACCCTTGTCTGTTCTCTAAGTAATAGTAGTAATCTTTCTCTCTCTCTTGAACTCACTACGTAGAGTCAGGTGGCCTTGAATTCATGGCGATCCTCCTGCCTCAACCTCACAAGTTTTGGGATCACAGTCATGAGCCACCATGACTGGCAAGAATGGCTGTCTTAAAATATCTCCCCCTCCACTTATCTAATTGCCTAAGTTTGGGATATGTGCATATATTACATTCTTTTTTTAAAAATTTAGACAGGGTCTCATTATATAGTCTGGGCTGGTCTTGAACTCACTATGTAGCCCAGACCAACTTTGAACTTGTGATTCTCCTGCCTCAGCCTGCCAAGTGCTGGGATTACAGGTATGCACCACCACACTAAGCTTAATTACATTTATATTGGGAGACACTGATATGATGAATTTATTAGCCCAGGAATGTTTGCTCTTCACATTTGTTACCCTTTATTGAAGGGAGGCCTTTGGCTCCCTAATTATTATAATCCTTCAGGACCTTCCTGAGGACCTCTCAAAGTCCCATCCCCTAAATTGTTCTTATTCTCCATCATCACAATGCCACTTGTGAGGCAAGGTGTGTGGGACTGGGAAAGGGGAAAGGTCTGGAGGATCAGCTGTGGTGGGGTCACCTTGGTCTCGCTGGGAATAGTTAGAGAATCCAATAATGGTCCGCCTCCTCCTCAGGGTGGACTTGGGGTTCACGGCTGTCTCCGTGTTAAACAACGAGTGTCTCAAACTTGCGTGTTTATCAAACTGCTGCCCTGTAGCCAAAATAAAGACATCTGGGTGCATCCTGGTTTCTGTTGAAAATTCAGTGGAAATGGGCCTGAGGCAGAGAGAAGATGATGGCAGTAGCGATGGGCATGAATAATGGCCAGGCAGGTGGCACTTCTCCCCCATCTTTCCTAATATGGTCCCAGGCACGCATGCTGGGTTTCCTAGACCACTGAAACTCTAACTTCTGAATCCCACTTCAGAACATTTAATGGTATGAGAGTAGGGACTAGGTAGAAGTCTTCAGATGACTATTTTGATGAGATCCAGGGGTGCGAACGATTGGTGCAGAGTGATGGGCTGAGACTAAGTGTCGCTTGAATATGATTTTTTTTAAGCTAAAGCCTTTACAGTGGCCAGGTGGGGCTTGTGTCTCTAAAAAGCTGTCCAGTGCCCCCACCATCTAGGAAGCCTGATGACATTCAGTCTCACAGCTGCCTGCTCACATTTTACCAAAGTTGGCTGCTACATAATGATCGAGTTCTCTCTCTCTCAAGCACTGGTTGACCTTTGGCTCCTGGGAAGTTGCCAGGGCAGTCAGGGTGAGGCCAAGCCATGAGGACAGGTGTGTGGTTTCTCCTTGGTCTTTATTTGGCAGCCAATGAAGCAGACTCTCCCTTCATAGACACATGGCAGTGCAAACCCTGGTTAGTGGCTCTAAGGGCAAAACCTAGGGTCAGCCTCAATGAGGGTAAGATAGCTATCCAGACAGAGTGCCTACCATCACCTTGTGAATCTCTTCTCATTATTTCCTACTCATTTTGGTGCATCTCCCTGAGCCGTGGGCTCTACTTCCTGCCTATCACTTTCCAAGATGACTCCAGAGGCAATGGATGATTTCCTATCTAGCGGGCATCACCATATGTGGCCAGTGCTGTCCTCACTGTCTTCTGCTCTTTCCAGCATAGCATGGGCTAGTGCTGCCTTGCAGTCTACCTCCAGTCCCTTTGGGTTATGGAGGTCTGGATTTCTTCAGCTTCTTGGTCCTATAGTCTTCTGATGTGACTCACCTTCCTTCTCTTCATCTATAGCCAGTGAAGAGGGGAACAGGGATGAGTAATGGCATAGTGTGCCACGTGTCCCCAGTCACAGCCAGCTGGGCTATGTGAACCATTTCCCTGTTCTCAAGGTCAAATTGCCCACCCCCCTGCCCTTTGAGACAAAGTCTCACTGTGGAGCTCAGGCTGGCCTACAACTTACAATCCACTCGCGTCAACCTCTCAAGTATCAGGACTACAAGTGTGTGCCTTTACATCTTGCTCCCTTTTGGTCTTTTTTTCCCCCTTATCATCTTTCTACTATTTCCCTTTCCCAAAAAATTGAGGAAGCCCACCTCACTAGAAGCTCTCATATTTAGTGAAAGGGCCACAAGGCCTTTGATCTGTTCCCCAATGTCACCTTCTCCTTTACCACTAGCACTGTCACCCTGGTTTCCCCTCTGAGTCCTATCTGTATACTCCAAACCTGATTTTGGGCACAAGACATTCTTTCCCAAACCAAACAGAACTTACAAACTTTGACCTTCCACATATGCTCTGAGGAGCACTCAAGTTCATAAAGTTTTGGAGCTTTTGGTTAGGGAAGCTGGTTTTGTTTTGCTTTGCTTTGCTTTCAGAAGGTATCAGAGTGGCAGTGCCAGTAGGGAGGGAAGGAAGACCAGCCAGAGCCCCCTCTTCTGCGTGCCCCTGTTCCCTTGGCATGAGCCATGACTGTGACGATGCAGGGTGAGCCGGTAGCAAAGAGAGTGGCCCTCCCTCCCCAACACATGGCACATTTGAAGAAGATAGGCTGCAGTGGCATGGAGGGAAGCAAACAGGTGGTGCTAAGTAACTCTACCAGAGATGTTGATGGGCACAAGGTCAGACTGCATAGAGCAGGGCGGAGGCCACCGCTTCTCCTCTAGGCTGGGCAGAGGGAAGGGGCCATTCCAGGCAGTTTGCTTGCTGGTTGTAGACAGGCTCAGGGCAGCCTCAGGGGCCCTCACGCCTTGGGTAGTAGTCTCATCCTCACTCAGCTGCTGTTTTATAGGCTGCGGGAAGAAAAGGTAATGGAAAAGGTATGCTGCCAGCCACCAATGAGGCAGTGCCCACAGGACAGATGCTTAGGCAGAATAGTTGGAGGCTTTGTCTAGGAAGCAGGAAAATGTGGACCGGCCACCTGGCCACACAACCCATCCCGTGGGACCTCTGGATAGCTGTTGGTGAGCAGAGGTGAGCAGCAGCTTCCATGGGTAACCTAAGCAGCTTGAGGGCCCCTGTCAGAGGGTGTAAGCTGGCTCTCCCAGGTTGGGGAAGAGGCAACTCACCATCAGCACAAACTCCAGACGCCTGGCAGACTGGAGCCTTGGGCTGGGGGTGGGCTCAGGGGCCGCATCAGAAGAGCGGAAGGTCTGCCCCAGAAGTCTGGCCTCTGAGTACTGTTCCTCATATTCTTCTGAAAAATAGCACAGTGGAGACATGCTCTAGGGGGCTGGGGGAGACCATGTGCCAGGGCTCCTGCACCAGCTGTCAGGCCTGCCTCGCACTGTCTTTTTGGGCTCTATGTCAAGCCACTGGATTTAGAAATGGAAAATTGCTTGCTTTCTAGGATTGTGAGGAGAAAAGAAAGTCAATAAATTCAAGCCATGCTACATTGGGGACCAAGCCCTCATCTCAACAGCCCCCACTTGAAGTGCTTAACTCAAAGTATAGGCCAAGGATACAGCTACCTTTTGCTACAGGGTCCTCTTTGAAACCCTGCAGCTTTTGAGGTTTTCTGCAACCCCACTAAGGAAATGGTCAATGGTCTTTGTGAAGCAAGAAGAGATTCTCACTAGGAAGTCCAGGCTGGACTTATGGATCACAAGAATTCTTACTTGAGCTTTTGCAGGCCTAGTTCCACTGTGGGTGGGGTCAAATCTAGGCAGACTGAGGGGAAGGAGAGTAAAAGAGCATACAGTGACATAGAAGAGGGAGAACTTCAGGAGCACCATCAAAGAAGAAGAATGTATAAAAATTGAATTGTTTGACCAAAGCAATGGCTAGATGAGTAACTAAAGAAAGTGAGAGTAAAGTACATAGCTTTATGCACATTATGTACACGGAGGATCATGGAAACTTGGGCTTGCTCTCAGGTTCTTTGGTCTCTATTCCGACTCCCTCCTCAGCAGCTGGGTGCTTTTCAGTTTCCTCAGTGTTCTTCCAAGCCCAATGCACACACCTACAAAGAAGGGGAGCTCCTCCCTTCCACAGACAGTTGGGGCTGTCAACCATGTCAGAAAAGTTCTTTCTTATCTGAAGGTGGGATCTGGCTCCTTCTGGGTTTCTACCCACTGGTCCTAATTTTGCCAGTAGCAGCAACATAGAGCACATCAATTTTCTCTCTCTCTCTGCATGGCAGCTCCTCCTTATCTGAACATAAGGCTCATGGTGTTCCTCAGCATCTGATTCTCTAAAGTCACTACTTGCCCTGGGGAGGAGTTGGGGGGTTATGGCTACAGAACAGTTAGCAGGCCCATTGGCTGGTGTATATTGTCCATTGGTATTAACTTTTGCTGGTATTAGATAAATAAAAGCTAAGATGTCTTTGTGCATTTAGCATTCACTGGGTACGTCTTGGTGCCAGGTATTTCTGGAAACCTGAGGTGGTAAGAGACATGTTTGTTTGTTTGGTTGGTTTATTGAGGTGCTGGTGCTGGACTGCTGGGCCTTGAGCACTTCAACACTGAGCTAAATGGAGAATGTCAGTGTGGCTGGGTCAATAGGTGAATTCTGGGTGCTGTGTATTGGGTTTATGTGGGTGAGGCAGTAGCTACCTAGGAGGCACGTGGACAACGTTCTTGCAGAAGCAGAGTGAGTGAAGCCCACAGTGGATGTGGAAAGAGGAGGGCTAGAGAGCCCATACTGGGAGTCTCCCACCCAGCGGTCTTGAAAGCACTGATCCACTACCCTGACTCAGCCTCTACCCTTTGCCCCCGTGGATCACTGAACCAAAAAACGAGGAAGTGGGGAACAGCCCTAGAAACAGTCTTTCAGAATCATCATCAGCCTGGAGGTGGAAGAGAAGGGTGGAAGGCGAGCTTTGTTTCTGGAAAGGCTTGGAATTGTTTCCTCTGTTTCTCTGGCTCGTCCCTAGGCTCTTCTGTCTCCCTCCTGCTGTTGTGCAGCTCGGCTCGCCTCCGGGCTCCGGCCGCAGCCCTCCCCCCTTTCAGTACCTTGCAACAGGCTCTGGAGATTGAGCTGCGCCTCGCGAAGCAGCTCCTCTACACTCGGGGGCCTGCCTGAGGAGAGGAACACGTTCACTGGCTGTCGCCATGACGACCTCGAGTGGGCAGTCGCTGTCGCATTTTCCCGACCCGAGTTAGCTGCAGCTAGGGAAGGAGAGAGTCAGTGAGAAGCGCAACCAATGCGGGGAGCCGGCCTGCAGCCAGTGGGCGCCCGCGGTTTCCAAAGACCCGCCCCTGCGCGCCAGTGGTGGGCGGATGGGCGCTAGGAGCTGCACTTAAAAGGCGGGGAATCGCTAGCCGCAAGATTTTTCCTCGACAGATCCTGCCGCAGTGTATTCCTCCCGCACCACTCGCCTCCACCCGTCGCTGCCACCGCCGCCGCCTCGCCTGGAGCCTCCGGGCGTCCCACCATCGCCCTCCTCCAAGCCCTGCCTCGAGGTAAAGCGTATCAGGCTGAGCCGCCCGGCCCTCAACCCCAGCGCCGCCCGCAGTGCTCGCTCTGGTGGGTGTGGCCGGACTCGGCCCGCTACCGCTGCTGCAGCCGCCGCGGCACTTCGGTCTCCCCTCGCCTCCCGCCGCCGCCGCCGCGTTTCGGCTTCTCGCTGCCCTTAGTTCCCCACCCCTATTGCCTGCGCCCCTAGACCCCGACCCAGTCAAGATGTCCGAGGCGGCAGGAAATCTCAATAGCCTTCGCATGGCAAACGTAGCCTTGCGAGAAGAATTAAATGCCCTTCGTGGGGAGAATGCCAGTTTGGGCCTTCAGCTTGGAAGAGCCCTGGCTGAGGTGAATTCCTTGCGAGGCAATGTCTCGAGCTACATCCGCTGGCCAGTGCCCATAGTGCCCGTACTGGCCGAGGAGAACTTTGAGTTCCCGCTCAGTGAGATCGACACCATTACTGAGGGAGAGGTGCCCTTCCTGTGCTGGCCTCCCCCACGCACAGACTCTGAGTACGTCTCGAACGATCTTTTGATTAACGTGGTCCAGGACTACACCACTCCCGACGGGTCAGCCGAGCCTCCCCTGTCCCCTAGCCCACCCCCGCAGGAGCTGCCCTCACCGGCGTCAAAGGAGCCGCCCCCACAGCCCTTTCTGCCACCTCTGGAGCGGCCTGACATAGAACCCTTTTCCGGCAACCCAGTCTACCTGGCAGAATTCCTGATGCAGCTGGAGACCTTCATAGCTGACCATGAGAATCATTTCCCTGGGGGCGCTGAGCGGGTGGCTTTTGTGATCTCCTTTTTTATTGGAGAAGCTAGGGACTGGGCCATCTCAGTCACCCAGGAAGGAAGCTCCTTGCATGCCAACTTTCCGCGCTTCCTGGATGAAATCCGTAAGAAATTCTGTGGCCCCATCCCCCCGCGCGTGGCTAAAAAGGCCATCCGTAAGCTCAAGCAGGGAGACTGTACTTTGGGCAGCTACGCTGATGCTTTTCAGTACCTGGCCCAATTCTTGTCTTGGGATGACTGCCGCCTCCAAAACCAATTTCTCAAAGGCCTGTCGGAATTCTTTCGAAAGGAGCTCTTATGGTCAACTGAAATGGCTGACCTGGATGAGCTGATTCTTGAGTGTGTGGAGATAGAAAGAAAAGTGCGTGTCCCCAAGCCAGTCCCGCTCCCTGGGGTTCTCAATGTGGTTTTCCCTTTTGCTTCAAATCCTAATGAGGATGAAACCGGAGGTGAAGAGTGCTACAGTGAGGATGAGGATGGAGAGGCATGTAGGAGTGGGCTTTACCTGAAGGACCAGGCCAGGCACATGAGGGTTTTCCAGCAGGAGATGAGGGGGGAGGAGGAGGAAGAGGAGGAAGAAAAGGAAGAGGAGGATGAAGAGATGAGGAAGGAGGAGGAAGAAATGAAGGAGGAAGAAGATGAAGAGGAGGATGAGGATTATGATGAGGAGGATGAAGAGGATGAGGAGGATGAAGAAGAGGAGGAGGAGGAAAAGGAGGAAGAGGAGGAGGAGATGAAACCAAAAGAAGAGGAAGAGATGAAGAAAGATGAGGATGATGATGGGAATAAGGGTGATGAAGATGTAATTGAGGTTGGAAGCCAGGAGCCAGAGCAGGAGCCAGAAGAGGGGCAAGAACGAGTGGTGATGTATAGTGAGCTGGAGGCCCATCTTCTGGCCCACCATCTTCATCATCATCATCACCATCACCACCACCACCATTTGCACCAGCTGATGGAGATGGAGGAGCCTGTCCTTGTTGACACATCAACCCAAACCATTAGCTCTGCAATATACCATGCTGAGAATTTCCTGGACGAATCCCCTCCTGTACAGCCTAGCAGGCGGAGGAACCAGAATCGAGTTCCACTCCTGGAGGGCCTTCCAGGCACCAATTCACCATTCTATAGCTCACCGCCACTGATTCGCCGTGCAGGTCGCATGGGGCAGCGCCAAATTCGAAGACGTCCCCCGGTGCTATTCCGCCTCACTCCGAGACAGGGGGGGCACCGTGCTGCCCGTGGCCGAATTCGAGTGTGAGTACTGGGACCACCTGGAACACACCCTTCTACTGCGTCCCCTGCCCCTGCTATTGCTGCCACATGTGCTCCATCTACTGACCAGTTCTTAAGAGAATTCCAGACCTGAACAAGCTGAAGAAAACTTGCAGAATTCCATACTGTGTTGCAACCTGAACAGAGAGCGACATGTGTCCAACCAAGGCCACTTGGAAAAGGAAGGACAACGATAGTTGTCCTATTGCACATATTCTGCTCAGTCCTGCCAACCAGCCAGAGAGCAGGTTTCTGGGCCTGTCCCCATAAATGAACTGGTCACCCTTTTGTGTTCCTCTCTAATTTTCCCCAGCTCTCTCTCTCCTGTGTTTCTTTACCCTGTTTTATCCTCAGACTGGCTCACCAGGACTTCACCCAAAGCCTCACCGATCTGCCCCAGTGATTAAAAGGACAGGCTGTATGGCATTCCTAAAGCCACTGAGGCCATTTACTAGGTAAAACTGATGGCGAGCAGTATGGCACCAAGAAATGTACCTAGAAGCCTATGCTTATTTCATGCCATACTCCAGCAAAAGGACCTGCAAGAGGACCCCACATTTAGCTCAGTGGACAACTTGACTGAAATTTGTCCTTGAAAGAATGGCAACCTGAGTTTCCCAGCACCTAAGTTTACTTTCCTCCAGATTTCTGTAGCAGGGCCTTTGGATCAGCTTGGTCAAATCTGGGGCTCTCTCCTCTTACTGTACTGGCCACCTGACTGTCCCTGCAACAGAGTTCAAGGTGTCAGCCTCTGCCCTTTTCCTTGATTTTGCCTAACGGGTAGGCAGCTGGGGATTGGGAATAGGAAGTGGAAGAGGGTCACACAACTCAATTTGACATTCTAAGGAGTGGATTGCTCCTTAGAAGGGATGGAGGTCTGCCCCTACCACCAGGCCTTAGACTACAGCTCCAGCCAAGGGTCTTTGCAGGTGACTTTCCATCTTTAAACTTTCAGAAGAAGTCCATTATCCTTGCCTTCCAGAACAGCCAGAGAGAGAGAGAGACAGAGACATAGACAGAGAACAGAGGAAGAGGAAGGTTGGCTCTGCAGAGACTGTACCCGCTGCAGCCTCACAGCTGGGACATCCCTGTGGCTGTCATGAGGGCTCAGCCTCTGGCCTGCTGTTGTGCTTCAGCTAAACACTGACACTGAAGGGTATGGCTGTTTCCAGGGCACTCCTAGGTGCTTCTTATAAAGAGACCTGTTGCTTGCCCTGGGTCCAGAAAACACTGCTTTTGCAATGAAAAATACACATTTACTATTTCGGCTGTGGCCATAAAATGCCAGCCAAATTGGCAACTAGCCCAAACTGCCCCTGGACACTGAACTTTCTGTGCAGGCCTGGCACGTGGGCAAGTGCAGCCAAAGTGGCTGTGGCCAGAGAGAAGAAAACAGTAAAAGAAGTCTCTGTTCCTTACGGGAGTCTGACAGGTAACCTCAGCCCAGCCTTAGGATATTGGGCCCGGAGCTCAGAGGAAGGAACTGGAGGAAGAGGAGTCAGAGACCCAGTCCTCAGACTGGTTTTGGGTGAGATCTCTATCCATCAGGAGGAGGTAAGATTTTTTTTATCCTTTATGCTTCTTAGTGGAGTTGGGTTCCTATAACCTGTTGCTACCTTTTACAAAGGTCCCCAAGACACAAGAGTAATACATAGTCATTACAGAAGATTTGGAAAACCAAGAAAACCTTAAGGACAGAATATTCCCCACCATTCAGAATCCCACCACACAGACGCAAGCACTGTTAACACTTTGCTGCGTTTCCTTCTAGCGTGTTCTCTCGGTGTCTTTTTCACAGCTGAGACTCGCTTTCACAACCTGTTTGTGCTTAGTAGTGGGATCTAAAATGGCCGCCACCTTTGCAGTCACTCATTCTGAGGAATTTATTGATGCATACTCCTAATCTGTTAGGCATTTCCATAGTGTGGTTTTGCCCTTTCCCACCAGGGTGGGAGTCAACAGCCTTGCAAAGACCATTGTTTCTGTTTTTCAGCTGATTTCTTCAGGAGGTAATTCCAGAAGAGGAATTGCTACTCTTTGAGGCTGCGGACCCTGTTTGCTGATGTTGACCCACTGGCCCTTCTGCCCGTGTGCTGGTGGAGAAGCACGATGAACAGGTGCCTTGCACCCCCACTTCTGGGGAGCCATCAGCACAGGCCCTGCCTGTTCCCATGGTCCCATGGTGCTTCCCACCCTGAACCCTTGTAGCACTAGCCAGGGAGAAAGCAGAGGAACAGTGAGCTGATTTTCAGGCCTCTGGGGGCAGAGGGGGTTGGGCTTCCCTATGACCCCCTCCCCACTTTCCCAGATCTTCAATATTTGTTGTGATGTGACAGCCACAAAAGCTGTAAGAACTGTGGGCTTTGGGTGCCTCCTTGTTAAGAGGGTGGGTGGGGGGGGGGAATGCATGCAGGGGTATGGAGGCAGCTCAAGGATTCCCAGAACCTGGGGAAGAAACTCCTTCGAAATAAATGTGTTATTGTTATTATTGTGTTATTGCTGTATTATTGTGTTGTGAAGATAAGAAGTTTTACTCTGTACGCTAATGCTTTCTCTCCTCAATAAAAATATAAAGGGTGTGTAAAGATGGTGTCTGTCTGTGTTATTGGGCAAACATAGATGGGTGCCCAGTGGGCGGGGGGTACCTTATCTAGGCATCAAAGCTGAATCCAGCCTAGTCTGGCAATCCTTGTGTGGGGAAACTTAGACCTAGTGAGGTTCAAGGGATTTGCTTACACTCCCACAAATGTGTGGATGGCAGGAGTTGTTGGCAGGGAAGTGGAATCACTGGACGGCTAGAAAAATAACATTGATTCACACACACACGCACGCGCACACGCGCACACGCGCACACACACAAGACTGCAAGGAGGGGAAGCCAGGTGGGGTGAGTAGGGAGGCCCCTTCCACTTTGGGGCACTAGGTGGTGCTATGGGATGTGTGCGAGCTAGCTGGGGAAGATTTGGAAATAAAAGCCCCAAAGCAGTCCACACAGGGGCCCTTCCAGCACCATCTCACTGCTTCTCACAAACTGTGGGATCAGAAGAAACTGAAACTCATTCCCATATGTGATCAGATATTATTTTCCTGGAGAAATGGGTGGGAATGCTCCTTGAACCCCAGTTACTAGCAAGTGCTATGTCAGGCACTTTCCATCTCCTATCTTCTTTCACCCTGATAACCATGCCAGAGGCAGGCCCTGTGCTCATCCTCACCTTCAAGTTGATGCTGAGGTTTAGCAGAAGTCACTGTACCACAGATGACAGCAAATGAGTGGCTCCTTCATAGCCACACAGCCGCCTATTAGCTTGGGGGACACTTAGTCCCTTTCAGCCCAACTCCTAGTCCTCCTAACAGGCCAGACTAGCCTGGCCCTGCCCTGCCTTGCCTCCTCCCCCAGCTGGCAGTGTTCTTTGGAGAAACAGCCCTAGTTTCACGCAAACATTTGCCATGCACCTTTCGGAGGAAGAAACAAAGGGAGGGAATCGGGGCAGGAGGAAGGAAGGAAGGAAGGAAGGAAGGAAGGAAAAAAGAAAAGGATGGAGGGAGAAAATCAGTGTGGTTCTGATCATGCACCCAGCACTTTCTTTTTTTTTTTTTTTTTAAGAGGAAAAAGAGAAAAACACAAAACAAACCAAAGCGGCGTAAGGGTACACGCAATACAGAACTACAAAACAAAACAAAACAAAACAAAACAAAACAAAAAACCATAACAGTAAGAAATTACCTGCTAGTAGATTACACACTATTTTCTTGAAAATAGTTCCTCAAATCACAGTATCAAAGAACACAAGGTGGACATTCAAACAGGGAGACTGCAAACAGCTGTGTTCAATGTTCCAAAAACATTGATAAAGTCAGCTATTTAACACCCCCAAACACACTTGCTGTTATATCCGTTAGAGCTCCTTTTCTTTTTTTTTTTTTTCCCCTCTCTTTTTTACAACAAAATTTACACATCTTGGATTTTATTACTCCTTAGTGCTTATTACTTTCTTTGGGGGGGGGGGAAGAATACAGTCAAATATGGCAAAACAAAGCTGTCAGTCAATACCAAGGATAGACGTAGCACATGGTGTAGAACAGAGTACAAGTTTATCAACAATGGTTATCAACGTTGTCCCTTGTTTCCTTAAAAAGAATTGTCTATCTTATTAGATATTATAAAGTTGGACAAAACAGTAGAGAACAAGACCAATAAAACTTAGGCGTTGTAAACATTACAGGACTTCCAAAGAAGACAATAGTCAAACCAGAATGGGTATCTTAGTGAATCTTATTGTCTTCAAAGTAGTTGCCTATGTCTTCAAACTTGATACTATCATATAGAATGGAACAGAGTCTAATCAGTCAAAACAAGATCGTGGGAGTACTACAGGACTTCAAAACAAGTTAATAGGAAATCGAAAAGAGTTACTATTTATATATCCTAATTTTTTTGAATTTTTTCTTTAATTAAGACAAACATAAGAAATGACTAAATAATTTTTTTTGAAACAATAAGGGGGAGATTGAGATAAAACAGGACATAACAATATAACAATAGAGGTCACAGCATGACTGTTTCAATAACCTAGTACTTCACCACCTTATAACCTGACTTAATAGTAGTTACCATAGTGTCTTTTTCCTTGAAATATTTGGGTAAAACTTCATATACTCTAGCTTCAAATATTTTCATATCAAGAAGCCCAGAATAAAGCCTTTCTAATTAATGAGTGAAAACTTTATAAGGCTTCAAGGCCACCTAATGGGGAATCATGATTACCACATATTTTTATATATTTGAATCATTACTTACATTAGGGAAACTATTCGGTATTCACACATGCGAGATTGATTTATTTCACTTATGAGTATGGTCTCAAGCTGTGCCCATTTATTGATAAATATCTCAATGTGATCCTTCTTTATAGCTGAATAATACTCCATTGTATAGAAATACCACAACTTTTTTATCCATTCCTCAGTTGATGGGCACTTGGGTTGTTTCCAAGATCTGGCGATTACAAATTGTGCTGCTATAAACATAGGTGCACATATATCACTGTGGTATGATGCTTTCAGTTCTTCTGGGAATATGCCTAGAAGTGGAATAGCTGGAATAAATGGGATTTCCAGTCCCAACTTTTTGAGAAATCTCCAGACAGATCTCCACAAAGGCTGTACCAGTCTACACTCCCACCAGCAGTGCAGGAGAGTTCCTTTTTCCCCACAGCCTCTCCAGCATTTGTTGTCGGTTTTCTTGATCCTGGCCATTCTTTCAGGAGTGAGATGGTATCTCAGTGTGGTTTTAATTTGCATTTCTCTAATGACCAATGATGATGAGCATTTTTTCATGTATTTATTTGCCATTTGCATTTCTTCATCTGAGAATTGCATATTCATCTCAGATGCCCATTTTTGGATTGGATCTTTGAATTTTGGAGGTCTGAGTTTCTTTAATTCTTTATATGTTTTAGACAAGAGGCCCTTGTCTGAGAGAGAGTTCACTAAAATCTTTTCCCAGTTTGTGGGTTTTCTTTTCACTATGCTGGAGATTTCTTTTGACATGCAGAAACTTTTTAATAAGAAGTGGTCCCAGTTGTTGATTCTGGGAAGTATTTCCCGTGCGGTTTGAGTCCTGTTCATGAATTCTTTACCTACTCCTATGTCTCCAAGGTTTCTACCTATTTTGTCTTCCAATAGATTTAGTGTTTCTGTTTTAATATTCAGTTCTTTGACCCATTTAGATTTTAATTTAGTACATGGTGATAGACATGGGTCTAGCTTTAGTTTTCGGCAAATGGAGAGCCAGTTTTTCCAGCACCATTTATTAAAGAGACTGTCGTTCTTCCAGTGAACATGCTTGGCTCCTTTATCAAAAATAAGGTGGTTGAGTGTGTTCGTAGTTGTGGTTGTATCTTCTAATCTATTCCACTGATCTTCAGCTCTGTTTTGATTCCAATACCATGTTGATTTTACTACTGTTGCTTTGTAGTATAACTTCAAGTCAGGGATTGTGATGCCTCCTGCTTTGTCTTTGCTGCTTAGAATTGCCTTTGCGATTCTAGGTCTCTTCTGGTTCCAGATGAAATTTAGGAGTGATTTCTCTAGATCTATAAGGTATGTTGATGGTATTTCTATGGGGATTGCATTGAATCTGTATAACAGTTTTGGGAGAATGGCCATTTTCACAATGTTTGTTCTTCCTATCCATGAGCAAGGGATGTCTTTCCATTTTCTGAGATCATCTTCAATTTCCTTTTTCAGTGTATTATAATTTTCACTGTATAAGTCTTTCACTTCTTTCGTAAGAGTAATTCCTAAATATTTCATTTTTTTGCTTGCTAATGTGAATAGTCCAGTTTCTCTTATTTCCCTCTCTGTAATTTTGTTGTTCGTGTATAGGAATGCTATTGATTTCTGAGTATTGATTTTGTATCCAGCCACATTACTGAATTTATTTATTGTATCTAAGAGTATTTCAATGGAGTTTAGGGGGTCTTCTATGTAGAGTATCATGTCATCTGCAAACAATGATAATTTAACTTCTTCTTTTCCTATCTTTACCCCTTTTATTTCTCTTTCTTGCCTAATTGCTCTGGCTAGTACTTCCAGTACTATATTAAATAGGAGTGGTGATAAAGGACATCCTTGTCTTGTACCCGATTTTAAAGTAAAGGCTTTCAATTTTTGGCCATTTAGTATGATGCTGGCTGTTGGTTTGTCATAAATGGCCTTTATTATATTGAGGTAAAGACCATTTATTCCAATTTTCTGTAAAGTTCTTATCATGAATAAGTGTTGGACCTTATCGAAGGCTTTTTCTGCATCTATAGAGATGATCATGTGATTCTTATTTTTGGCTTTATTGATATGGTGGATTACATTTATTGATTTGCGTATGTTGAACCATCCTTGCATTCCTGGGATGAATCCCACCTGGTCATGGTGTATAATCTTCTTGATGATTTGCTGGATCCTATTTGCCAATATTTTATTGAGGATTTTTGCATCTGTGTTCATTAGGGAGATCGGTCTATAGTTCTCTTTTATAGTTGGGTCTTTCTCAGGTTTTGGTACTAGAGTAATATTTGCTTCCAGGAATGACTTAGGAAGGATTGCTTCCCTTTCAATTTCATTGAATAGTTTGAGGAGTGTCGGCATTAGGTCTTCTTTATATTTCTTGTAGAATTCTGCAGTGAATCCATCTGGGCCTGGGCTCTTCTTGGTGGGCAAGGACCCAATTACATTCTCAATTTCATTAGCAGAGATTGGGTTATTCAACAGTTTTATATCCTCTTGATCTAGCTTTGGTACTTCATATGCTTCTAAGAATCTGTCTATTTCTTCTGTGTTATCAAACTTTTGAGAGTAGAGGTTTTCGAAATAGGTGTTGATGATCCTCTGTATTTCTATTGGGTCTGTAGTGATTTCTCCTTTTTCATTTCTTATTGCATGAATTTGAGCTTTTTCTTTCCTTTTTTAAATAAGGTTGGCTAGGGGCTTATCGATTTTATTTATTCTTTCAAAGAACCAACTCTTTGATTCGTTGATTCTTTGGATTGTTTTCTTAGTCTCTATTGCATTGATTTCTGCTCTG